GGGGCCGTATGCTGAATGTTGGGTAGGGGCTGGGGGCCCCGACCCGCGATGCTGAATGTTGGGGCTCCCAGCAGAGTTTCGTCGCGGGACCTACAGGTGACTAGCCAGTCCTTTAATTCTGTGATGAAGTTGTCTGTTCACTGTTCTAGATTACAGATTCGTCCACGCACACATTGCCACATTGAAGTAATACACCAATATGGCACGAAGTAGTAGAAGGCGCGAACCAAACTTCAGTCTAAAGTAGTGAATGGACAGACTAGCAAGATTACGGCAATACAGCTAGACGTACACGAACGCTCCAATATGTGAAAGAATCAAAGGATAAACTAAAGCAATTACAACAATATAGCTGCATATACGTGGACAAATCTACAGTGTAAAACAGTAAAAAGGTGAAAACGTAATCGTAAAATCAAAGGACCGGTCAGTGGCCGCCCGGTCCCGCGACGAAACTCTGCTGGGAGCCCCAACATTCAGCATCGCGGGTCGGGGACCCCAGCCCCTACCCAACATTCAGCATACGGCCCATGGCTTTTTAATAACGCCGAGCTACACAGCATGCCTGCGGTCATACTACATAGAGCGCGATAACCGATTCCTAGACTTTAGCGGAAAGTGAAATGAAGGCGGCGGAGCATAGAGGCTAGTAATATACGGACAGCCTCACAACTAGACTGTTCCAACATTCGTGGAAAAGTAGCACCTGTAGTATAAAAGAAGGGATCTTTCCGCTTTGGTGTTGCAGCAAGCAAACTGCACAAAGGCATCTTGAGCACTTTGTGACTTTTGACACAATACAAGAGTCTCGACGTCAAGAAATCAGTCAGACCTCTGCGGCAACTCAACACAAGAGTCTGTCTGCAATTGTGGCGAAAGCGATAAAACAATCGAGTCGCGGAGAAAGTGTTGAATTTCTAAGTAACTTTAATAATCAAAGGTTCTATAGCAGTTTGTGGCAAATGCCACAAAGTGACAGACCACATAAGAGGAATCACACGGCACTTTATCTCCACAACGGTCGTCCACGCAGGCACATTCCGCGATGCTGATGCCACGCGGAAGCTTTGAAGCTCTTTATGGGACGTTTTGACGTCCTTACCATCTTCACGGATTCAGCAGACCTGCCATAAGACTATTATGTGCTTCAGTCGCTACCTAACCATCTCGAAGTTAGAAAGTTCGACGATCTCTAAATGTGAACGAATTGAAAAATGTTATAGGATCTTCCTGACAACCTAATAAATCGACTAGGTGTTGTACAGAAGAATACGAAAATTTCAGAAAGCAATTACTAGTTAAGATTTACGGTTGGTAATCAGAAAAATGAAACGTGTGAGAGGTTTTGCTTTGCGTGCAACCTCTACTTCATATCGGAGGCAATCATGGTCGGAAGCGTTAGATTACAGGTAGCAATGGATTGGATGGCAACTTGAGCGTAGAGCGTACACAGGGATAGGGAAGTTTCGTGGAGGTTTCAGCGGCTGCTAGCGGGAAAACTTTCTTCTTCGAACAATATCGGTCAACATCAATGCACTCACTTAGTCCTCCACGGCATTTGAGAGAGGCCTTCTAGAAGGCAAGCACACGCAACGAAGGGTACTTAAGTCCTGCTTCTGTGTTTGAATCTTGAAACATATTAATTTCTGGATTTACCCCTCAAGGCGAAAAAGGTACATAAGATCACGGGTGATCGTCGGACAAGGCAGCGCTATAAGGCCTCAATGCTAGAGAAAGACAAACTAAACAGGAAGGGAAGCAGGCACTTTATGGGTGAGATTACTGCTTTAAGTCGAAGGGTGAGACCGACTCAAAATCCGACTCGGTCCGAGAGACTGACAGGCTCCCAAAAAAGCTCGTCGTATCATCGCACATGTCGCCAACCTGAAAGCGAAATATGACCCACTGCCTAACGATCCGAGCTGCGTTTGCGAAGCGCTTTAGCAACAACTCTACTGTTGTTCAATGTGACACTACGACCACGCACGGTCATGGCGAATCACAATAAAGCAAAAATGGAAATCAGTAGTATGCCTCTTTATTGTAAGCGCAAAACTTCGAAATTGAGAGTGCCTCATCATATTTCCCCACGCTACAGCTGGACTACTGGGATCTGATCGCCCAACTATCTTCACGATTACTTTTCAGTGCTACTTAGTATCAATAAAACACAAAGATGAAAAGTTGCACCTAAGAATACAGGAAGCACAGGAACTCTTTTGGTTGCAGACCTACTGCTTCAACGTGAGTATGCGTACCAATGTTTTATGTTCTTATGAGATGAGATTCCCAATTTCTAGGTTCACTGTTATTCAATGGACATCCTCTCTTTCCTTCTTATCACGAGTGTTTTTTGACCGCTTTTTCGATGTCTATTTGCTAAGGGCGGAAGTGGTGTAGTGGCAAGTGGCACGCTTACCACGCGAGCGGTCCGGGGATCAAATCCTGGGTCGTGAGTCGCCCGGGCCAACCAAGCCTTCCATCCCTCCGGGGTCGGTTAATTGGTACCAGACTTGTCTGGGAGGATAAAAACACTGACTTGTACATCGGCTGGCCCCCGCAAGTCATTGTATAGGCCACAAAGCAGAATGCGTGCCGCATTCCAAGACGGGAATTGATCAACGGCAAATGCTTTATCCTTTTTTATCCTTTATTTGCAAACCCAGCTGTATTTATCACGGTTTCATCTTGATGAAAGGGAGGGATCTGATTGCAAAACTGTGGTGATGATGCCAGCTTGGAGCAAACTTTTACTAAATAGTTTAGAAGGAGAGAATGCCAAGAGAAGTCGCAAAATAAACACACAGTACTCAGTACTTGCTGTTCTAGATAAAACTGCAAAAAAAACTGCGATTTCGCATCCTTCTGCTCATTTGGAGAATATAACTTTTAGAGACCTTCCCCCATCAAAGTACCTAACACAACAGTATTCTGTAACAGCTAGCATAGCTCATACGGATTTCCTCCGCAGAAATTTAGCAATTCTTGGGTCACACTCAAAATATAATAGCATGTCGGAACCTTATTCGCCATTTATAGCCGGTCATTATTATCACATTTTTTGCCATTACGTCTATTTTTGCCATTACGTCTGATCCCTTGCACTGGCTACAGGTTGGTTGAAAATTAGGACGCTATGCTCTTCAGTGAGTGTGAAAGTCAAGGAGGGGACTCGATTAATAACCGACTTACGGAAAGATAGAGCCTAGCACAGCTAGCACTTAGCGCAGAAGGTTCTCTAAGTTTGTCCTGCTTTGACATTTTCAAAAGAGCATTTTCTCACCACAATATCGTCATTTCAAAGATCGTCGAGGAAATTTCAACATTTTCTGAAGGTGAACACTAACGGACTTTAGCCTTCACCTTCAAATATTACTCCCTGTCAAACTATTAGGTACCGGATATCTTAGTGTCGTTTTTTCACCACGAGTTTCGGACCACCAATATTTTAATTCAGAATCCGGGGAGTGAAACAGCATATTCATCGAATGACTCATTAGCACTTTCCCATTTACCAGTATGAGTGGAAACCTCGTACGATTAAAGCTAGGAATTTTTTGAGTCGAAAAAGAGAGGTAGGTCGGTTTTGACATCATCTGACAAATCATCCCTCTCACTTGCTAAAAAGTTAGGCCTGGACAAAAGAAGTATACAGTTAGTTAGAGTAGGGTCTGCACTGTATGGTGGAAAAGTTAAAACTTTACCAGCTCAACTGGACAATTTTTCCCGGAGTCTTTTTTGCCACATAGGGTCAAAAACGCACCCTTTTTGAGCACACGTGAGTAGCAGATGAGCACATTTATTAGAATTTCTTGTGCAATCAACTTCGTTAAAGCGTTTGTGCATCATCGATCAGTCACTGCTAAGGTGTCCTACCATTTCAGCACAAGACTGGTGCAGCCCCGTCTCGACTGATTTAACTAGGGCCACCTTTTTGACGACGATTGCGGGCATCACTTCAAAGACTTCACTGTCTTTTGAGAAAACTGTGAAAAACCGATGAGCATTTTAAATGGTAGTATTCCCTCCAACAAATGCAATGTTGGTTTGGTGGGCGGAAGTTGTAGCTCTCAGCAAGAATTTTGAAGCATTTGGTACACACATGCGAATTTGCACACTGGACCCAGGAATTTTCAAAAAAAGTATAAAAATTGGGGGAAAGTTAAATTGTGAACCAACAATAGAAAACAATAAGCAACATATTTCGCAGTATTAATGAGCAAAAAGGACTTTCTGAGATATTGATTTTCCATAGTAATCGGCCCCAAAACTTCCTGAACTCAGAAAAGCGACACTAAGATATCCGGTACCTAATATACCACTTTTGGGAGAGTCTGCTGCAAACCAGACTCATTTCGGAGACTTGCTTTGAATTTTTTCAAACACTGCCTTTGATTTCGATGGTCACAAAGAAGTGAGAAGGTTTCACATCTCATGGGTAGATTCTATTCGGATTGCTCCAACGAAAATCAGAACTGAGAGGAGTCGGTAACACTCCACTATGATTGCTTTCCAAGATCCTTCTGGAAAGAGTGACGGCAGATTCCTGAGATCAAAGCGATGTGACTCACGCTGGTTTCATCGTTGTGAGTGATCCTCTTATAGGTGAGTGCTCAAATCCTGTGAGTGTGCACATCTCGCAATCCCAGATCTGTATTTGAACCATGAAGGCGGCGAAGATGTTTCGACGAGTAGAAGAGGGAATCGAGCCGCTCTGCGAAGTTGCAACTTAGAGAGCGTTCTTGTACAGTCTCTTGGTAGTGAAATGATGGAAAGAAACCTACATTAAGGGAGTCCCGATGAAATTCGAACCAAACAACTCATGGGCATCTTGCATAGTTCCGAAATTCCAAAAACATTCCGAGAATACTCCACGGCTTAAAACCAGCAAGTGGTCAAAGCCGCGTCCTACAAATCAGCTACCATGTGAACTGCTCCGCCCACTGATACTCACACAGCAAATCCTTCAGAAATCGCGTACGTGGATATATTCGAGAAAACTCCAAAGAGAAAGTGTAGGGCATATTGCTTCAAATTCTATGCCGAAAGAAGCATACAAATTCCCCAAGTCAGGCTTGGAAATCGGATCTTGTCAAGAGTGATAATCGCAGAGGATGCTGTACGAAGTGAACTTTTCAAGATCAGCCATCATTCTTTGGCGAAGTGACTCTCCTATGTCGAGGAACCATTGCGGAATCGAGCCAATCCTTCTATTTTATAAAGCGCTAACTTTGTGTGTCGGTTTGTGTATCTGTATGTGTGTGTGTGTGTATGTATGTGTGTCCGTCCGCAAAATGAAGTGAGTGAGAAGGAAGCTCATGGGATAAACAAACCGCTAACAAATCGGGTAGCTTACAGGATTTGAGATATCAATGTTTTGTAGCAGGATAGTTGTGATAACACTCTTAGGGCTATATAAACACCTGCTTAGCACACTTCCGTTCATTCCACATGGTGCTGCAGTGGCAGCTGGAGGGCAGTGGAGAGAGGAAGGGAGGATGAGGAAGGGCGAAAAATCTACCGTCATATCATGATTGTGTCCCTTCTACTGTATGAAACACCATTGTGTTGCATACGCGTCACTTCCAGAGGTGTTGGTGTCACAGGAGGAAGGGACCATAGCGGAGGATAGAAAGCTTGCGCAGGAAAGGAAGGTCCCGGCGGTTGACGGGGGACTAATCTGGTTTTAAAATGCGCTATTATGGCCGGTCTTTTATGTGTTCTGTGTTACAATTTGCCAGCTCTGCTCTTGATGATTTCTTTTTTAAGCCTACCAAACTGTGTGAAAAAGAAATCATAAAGGGCAGGCAGTTTTTGAAGCCTAACGAAAAGAACTGGTCAGACTCCACTCGTCTGGGCTTCATATTTCGATGAAAATGGCTACATTTTCGCAATGGTTCCTTGTCAGAAAATTGCGTAGTCACTTCCGTCCGTAAGATGGCCATGGATCTTTAGAAAACGCACAAGAAACACCTCTTGAGATATAATCTTTCCTAGGACAGCCATTTTGAGCTTGACTTGGTAAAATTGTTAAGCTTTACCCACCTACACCGCTTATCTCGACCGGGAAGAAGCAAAGAGAGCTCAGGGTTTTCTGCTCTCCCAGCTGAATTTTTGGGTTCTTGAAGAAATTGCTCCCAACTGAACTTCTGGATTCCTGAAGGATTTGACGAAGATGGCGAAGTGACTTCGTCTGATTCAAGCGCAAATCGATGGCTCGGCAGTGAAACCGTGTAGTTATTCCGCGACAAGTTGTTCCTTTTATGATCCTGCAGCGGTTTCTTTTTGTCTTTAGCAAAAACGAAAATTATCAAAAGCCAAGCAATTTTGTTCAGCAATAATAATGTTAAGCATAAAAGTTGCAGTGGAAGTAAGGTAGTATGCCAAATAGGCATAGCAACTTTCATCAGGGAGAAAAACTAAAGATAATGCCAGATTGAAATTTTGTGTCGATTCTCAGATTTGATTGTGTGGTTTCACACTTCAAATCGTGCATCACTATGCGGTGTGAGATAGCGAGCAGGAAAACACATGGGAAAGTTCCATGACGCCACACATTGGGGATCGCTTGTAGCAAGTCCGAGGGTCGTCGAGAATATGCTAATCCCTTTAGGGCCTTCGGGGCTTGCAGCATATGGACCCGAGAAGGCTTATCGGGACCTGTGACAGTCTCTTTATAGTTATTTACAATGTTAGATGTAGCATTTGTTTCAGACCCCACAAACTCTTATAAGATATCACATGGCATTGAAAGAACCTGTTTATAACAAGAACGTCATCCTAAAGAGCTACGTAACTCGCGAGCAATGGCAGTTATATCATGAACAGGCAATTATTACGTCATTTGGTTCTGAATTTCTATAATTGGACAGTCACTTTCAAGATGTATTCATTTTCGTATGTGTTTCCATTGCATTTAATGACAAATTGCCATAATCCTCTGATCATGAGTGTTTTGAGGGCATCAGCAAAAAAATCACACAAACAAAGAGGAAATGACGGGAACATGAGGGGAGGGCAACACTTTTCGTAGAGTGAAACGGCTCCCCTTGAAATCAACTAATGAATAAGCTTGGCTCCCTTCCTTCTATTCTAATAACAGCCTCGTTCTGCTCCCTTATTCTTTGCACCAGGTCTGAGCTAAGTCATCCCTTCAACCCTATTACCTTCGAGCGGTGGAATTCCCTCAAATGAATATGGTTCTGCTATTTGCAGGATTAGCAGAAATTTCTTCCTTTTTCGAGTTTTTACCTATTTCAAAACAAATTTCCACGTATCAAATTGTGGACATTTCGAATGATTGGGGCCACTGGATCTTATGAGCGCCGTCTTCTTAATGCAAATGCCATACAGATTCCTACATGGAATCTTACATGGAAACTTTTTAGATAACCACTGGTACTTTACTTGGTCACGGTGCATTTGGTGAAGTGTACAAAGGAACGCTCACCGTCGGACTTTTCACAAAACCAATCGAAGTGGCTGTCAAAACCTTGAAGAGTGGCACTTTGAACAGTGATGATAGGTGAGTTCCCATGCATAAGCGTAAAACCAAATTAGAAAATAGAACTGCAACATTATTCAAAAGATAAGTTTCATCCACTAAGGGGGGGGAGCATGTAGTGCTACATTCCATGTCGCATGAGGTGAGTTTCGCACAGGGAAAGTACAGTAGCGGTCAAAAGTTTGGAAACTTTTTTATTTTTGATCTAGCGCGGCCGACACATAACGAAATTGCCTCAAATTTAGATATTACATACAAAATCAAGTCAGAATACGACGGGAAGAATAATTTCCAAAAATCTATAATCATATTTGAGAAATAAGATTTTTTCAAGTAATGGCGCGTCAAAAGTTTGGAAACTTTTTGTTTCCCTTATCATTCCTACTCTTCAATGTTTACTTGTTTCTGTTAATTTTAGTTCAACCATTGAGTACTGGTAGCAGCCTGCCGAAAACTTGGCTAGAAATAATGCCATGAACTGGAACTATCGAAAACGGCCAGAACTTTTCTTACAACCTAATAGTAATGGCCTTCCTTACAACCTAATATAATCTGTCCTTATATGTTACGTAATAGCATTGTCAGTCATCCATCTCAGTAATGAAAATACATCTGAGTTCGCTCCGAAAAGATATACAGATGGTACCCTCGATCATCCCGCAATGCGTTTTTGGTAATAACATTCATTCTTCAAATATTAGCAATATGCCGAAGGTGTTATTCGTGTAGAGAGAGGACTAGTGCTCTACACATATATTGTACGAAGGTTCCTGGTGATCCATCCCATCCGTCGAGGATTTTCGTCCTTTTAGCGCTTTCACGAAAAACGGTTTTCGACTGGCACCTTATGACTTCAAACAATGGAACGAAACGTCATGACCGGCTTGAAATTTGGCGATTGCTTTACATTGAGAGCCTCTAGGAAAAATACAGCGCGAGAATAGCTCGCCAAGTTCAAGGTCAGACTTAACGAGTCAAAAACTCGGAAAGTGTTTACGTGAAGAGAGTTTTAATGAGGTTAAACATATTTTAACCATTAGGTTGTCGGAAAGTCTGCGCATTTTGTTATTAATCTTGCAAAATCTTTTGGGATCGCTGTGGAACATTCTCTGTTAACCCTTTGACTGGTGGGACACATGTGTCCCACTTGGTAGTCAAAGACACTACCACAGTTTCAGGTAAAATTCAGGGGCAGGAGCGCCCATTTGATGGCTAAATTGTGCACATATAGAGCTTTCTAATTCTTACTATGACAATTAATCGTCAGAAGCTAAAGCGAGTTATCCTGCATGAGTAATCATTTGACTATATGGTGGTGCACACACAATGTCCCACTTCCGTATCAATAGTCCTACACCTTTTGGCACTTAATTGATATCCGAGGGCCCGCTTGATGGCGGAATTGTGCACACACAGAAAATATGCAATTCTTGCTCCCACCTCAAATCGTCCTAAGTCAGAGCGCGTTACCCTATAGTAATAAGCAGGTCTTTTTCACAGGTCACTGTACAGTGTTCACGCCCCCCAAAAGGGTAATTTTTAAGCCTCACACTCTTTGTACTTGTTGTAGTAGTTCTAGTGTTTCCAACAATTGTTGTTTCACGTGCAATATGACCAACCACACAGTTGAGGATGGGTCGACACCATTTTGTGGGGGCATTTTTTAGGCTCGCAAGCCAGTCATTGGACGACGCAGCGTACTACGACTGTGTTGGAGATTCCGTCCTCCAGGGATCTGTCAGTTCGGGTGGTGCGGAAGTGATAATGAAAGACTCCTATGGTGGCGCAGAGTTCAGAAATAAAAACCTACGAAAATTCTCTGGAAAGAAGCAGCCGGTGAACGCAGCTTGTAGCAGCGGAGCAGCACTCCTACCAAGTGAGGCTTGCAATTCTTTCCAAGTGCGTTCCCAACCGGACATTAGCTTATTCCACGAATGCAATGTGATAAATGTGTATTTGTAAATGGTAATTTAACTGTTCCGAAAATGCTCATTCGAGCGGAGATGGTGTGGTGACAGGAGGGGCCACTGCCGCGCATATGGTCTCTGGATCGAATCCCAGCTCAAACCCAGCGTACGTCAGCCAAATTTCTACAGATGATTAGTTGTTGCTAGGAGCGACAGATACTACACAAAACACATCGACAACTTGTTTTCAAAAAAGTCGTAGTCTAATGGTTTAATGCATGTGAGCGGTAGCTAATGCTCTCTCCACAGCATTTCTGTCGTAGCATTTCGCAGCGTTTGAAGAAAATCGTCTTTCACTGAAGGTATGTTCGACTGCTCCTGCCTTTATAAGCCCACAAAATGCGTCGATTGAAGCGAAGCAGTAGGAGGCCTACGTGTTGTGATGGACCTCCAGACTATCTTTCACAATATGCCAATTATTTGGTTGCCGAAGTTCCAGATACTTGAGAAAAAACCACAAATCTGGTCGGCCTGCCACCCTCATTGACGAGTGTATTCTGAAGTCGATTGGAGAGAGTCCTTGGTGCAATGCACGGTAACTGGCGGAGCTTTTTCAGTGCTATCAGAGCACAATGGCCGCTCCTCAATATCGCCTCGAAAAGAAGTGAAATTATGGCGAAAGGATATTTTGTAATCCGACTGACCGCAGGCTATTAAGACTTCAAGACAAAGGCCGACTTTATTGGTAATAAGAAGTGGGATCCTCACATAAGTCGCTCGCGAAAGCACGACTGGCTCGGATGCGTAGAACAAAGGATTGCAACGCCGATTCGAGAACAGTAACCTGGGAGGCAACTTGAAAGCTCATGAGGCTGCAAATGTTTCGCTCACGGAGAGCTGCTGCCAACGAAGTCCACTGCTATTGGTGAACAATAATGTTGGCAAGTGGATCGGTTCCCCGGCATGGTGCCGGAAAATCTGAGAAACTTTACTTTATGTCGGCAACGCTCGCCCACGAATTACGAAGAAGGTTCAGGAAAGGTCTCCAAGCTCGTTATGAGAATGATCTGACCCACTTAGTGTGTACAGCAAACCTGGTAGAGACAGGGCTACCATACGCTTCTGTTGCCGTCGAAGGTACTGAAATAGGGGCAGTTCGATGATCCGGACCTACTCGGAGTCAACCTCTTCGTTTCCAAAGACTCGGGATTTCTGAACGGCCGGCAACCTGAAGTTGCCTGCTGAAGAGCAATGTTTCGACGATTATGGTGGTGTATGTATTCAACAATTGTTGGCTGCACTAAAGAAGAAAAACAATTTTGAAAAAATGTTGCCAAATGCGCAAAGACTTTTCCGACAGCCTGATACAAAAGAAACGGGAGGAGCTTATCACAGACGCTCAACTACAGGTGGAGCAAGAGAGGTCTGAGTGTGTGAGAGTACCCTGCCCAGCCGCCTGAATGCTATGAGGAAAGGGAGCGGAAGACATGCGTTTCAATCTCCGTCTCGAACTGGGGATTTTGCGTGCGAAGCACCAATGACTTGAATGGCACTGTTCGTTCTGCGAATGGGAATTGGGACCGTTCCCGGAGTTGGGGTAATTTTTGTGTGTAATGGTCAGTATCCACGAATGTTGTGTGTATTGGTGATCACGTAATCACAAAATATGTGATCTTATCGATATCGTGACTGTGCGGGAAAACCGTAAGCCTGGACCAGACACCGGCTCGGGCAGCAGGACACAACAGGTAATAGTGTGGTAAAAAATATGTTATGATGGTATGGTAAATAATGAGCTTACTAAACAGGTGGAGGAGATTGGGTTGGCTTGGAGCATCCTAAACCTGGGCTTCAACAGAAATCTTCCTCAACGTCTGGTGTCGTAGCTCATTGCAATGTCTAAGAATCGAGTCAGTAGACGTCAGTGGAGTCCTGACTTAGAAAAATGGAGCGTAATGCATAGGAAAATGCGGAGATGATGGCCTGCTGCGAGGAACGAGGGAGGTTCGATTTCTCGCCACGATAACGGCAGACAGACTACCGCAAAATTCGTTGTGTTAAGTTTTTCGAAGAACGACATCGTGGTTCTTCTGCAATCCTTCATATAGTCCAGGTCTCTCTCTCTGATGAACCACCAGCACCCTGCTTTTCGACGCAGTTCTGATAGGAGAAATTGTTCGGTGCCAAAATTGGCTCCCGACCGCTTTTTCCTTTTTACTCAATTATCATCATTTTCTGTAGTCCGTCAATGGCCACTAACGCCAAATATCACACAGACACAACGCTCTACTGCCAACAAAAGACGTTGTAACTTCCACGTCCCCTACATACTCTCCACTCATCTGTGCTTATCAGTTCTATTCTATCTCTACCATCTACTATTTGTGTCCCCGCCTTACTCCGCATGCAGGGATGAATGTGTTGAAAATTTTGCCCCCACATAGACGCCCACTACAGACAAGCAGCTCTTTATTTATGTGAGGAGATATATACAGGGTGGCAAAAATTACGGTAACAAGAGCGCTAACCAAACATCTCGATTTCCTTCGAACCTAATAAATGCATCTGGTTGAAGAGACCCCGGAGAGAAATCACTAGACACAACAGCAAGGTAGACCGCTTGTACACAAAGCAAATATTGTGCAACATTGGTTTTGCAGAACTTTCCGAATTCATGACATTAAACGAGTGGCAACCTTATTCTCCCATTTTAAAGCAAGTGGGTTATTTTCCGTGGAGTCTACTGAAGACGATGGGCTACTAAAGCATCACTGAAAGCACGAGCGTTACCTGAGACATACTTATCCCGCAGGTAAACATATAGAGACAAGCGCCAGTCCAAGAGTGCTGTTGTAGGGATCCTTCCAATGAATATACAATATTGTGTGTCCGCGTGTGCTTCCTGACGCTGTAGCATCTGCCTTCCCATGAGACTTTCTTCTGTGTTACCGCTATCTTTTTCAATTGTAACTTGAGGCCAAGCCACCAACACATACATACATAAATACATAAATATAACATGTCATCCTTAACGCTGTATCTTTTACAGAGTGACGTTCCTTCGAGAAGCGAATGTTATGCTAAAACTACAACACAAAAACGTTATCCGACTATATGGTGTGGCCACGCAAAAGGAACCTATAATGATTGTGATGGAACTGGCACCAGGTCTTGAATATTTTTTTGCTAACGAAATGTGGCATGTGTAAGGTATTAGGCGGTGTATAGATGTATTAACAAGTGTACAGATAGCACTGTACAAATGCAGACAAAAACCTTTGGTCTCAGTCGTAATCACGGCCACTCGTGGTTGGTTAGAGAAAATAAGTGGTTTCATGAATACTGATAGTTACCCAAATAACTCTGCCTTTCGCCACACTGAGTGGATTTAAGAAGATTACGGCTTTGACTATGACCACCCATGTACACAAAAATGTCTCTTTATCCATGTGTAGAAGTAAAAGACATCCTAACGCATGAATATTGAAGTCTTGGGCTGTTAGGTTTTCGAGTAAAAAGGAAAATGGACTACGGATGCTATTCGGTCGAAAAAGAAACTAGCAGGATTAGTCATAAACGTCCCTACTATAAATAAAGCGCTAACACTGTCTGTCTGTCCGTGTGTGCGTGGCTCGAAGTTCACAGCACACGTCGCAGCAGTCGCCGTGGTTCTGGTATATGGTATAGGAAGACGGGAACATATTTGGTGGGCAAGAGAAGGTCTGATAAGGTTTCGATAAGGGCCGTTAGAACGCATGGGTCCCGAAATTAATGACGCGCGGCTAAGCAACATTGAGGCGCTATCCCTCGGGTATGATATAGGGGGCGAGATGGGAGCGTATTCGGCGGGGAAGAGGTGACGGCAGTTGATAGGATTCGATAAGGGGCCTTAGAACGCAAGGGTCACGAAATTAATAACGCGCGCCCCAGCAACATTGAGGCGCTGCTGATTACATATGATATCGAAGGAGGGACGGAATCATGTATTTGAGGGGGGGGGGGGCAGTGAGCGGTAAGAGCTGATAAGAGGTGATATGAACGAGCAAATTGAGGACGGGAGTCACGGGAAATGATATCTATTAGGTCGGTCCACAATTTTTGAGAACCTTTGGTGTTTTTCGATTTATTACTTATCTTATTTCTCTGATCTACTTATCCAGCATAGTATACATCATTATTATTACAACATATCACCAATGCGAGGGTGGGTATTCAGTGTCTCTCTTGTGGACTTTCATAGAGTTCTGATCGAAGGAAAATTGTAGTCCCGAATCAGTTCTCAACCCAATCTGATATCATCAACTTCCTGTAGGTTT